ATCGTACCGTCGTGCGTCGCGTCGTGTCGTGCATTGCGTCGCCTTTTACGTCGCCTGAAGCACGAAACGACGCACGAAACGACGCACGACGCGACGCGTCGTGTGCTGTCGCCCTTTGCTTCATGGTGTTTATAGGGGGCGCCTCCACTGTTTTCTTTCATTTCCGCCCACGGTACTTGAGTAGTAGGGTAAAGTCCACTAATTCAAGCCCCATTGAAAACAGTGTAAAATTGGCACTGTTCAGGGCCCAATAACATGCTTACCAACATCCTTGAGATTGTTGAAACACAAAAAAAATTATCGTCTGGTCCCTAATCTTTCGATTTCCTTTCAATTTATCGTGGGCTAACCAATTACATTTTTAAGTATTCCCACAAAACAAAATCACCCCCGAAAAGTGAGTTTTCCGAAATCTGATTGCAGCCATTTTTCAAGTGGCAACCCTCAACCTTCTTGGTCACTTAGGACCATTTTTCAGTTGTAGTTTCTAGCCATTCTGCTCTCATAGGACAGCTCAAAGACCCATGCAGTTGATCCTGGCAACGATTTACACAGTCTCACCATTTCGGGGCCAGACAATCTCCTTTTCTCAGAAAAATGTTGGGCTGCTACTTTTTACGCTAATGAGCTGAGCAGAAATTCTTACTTGAATAGTGGACTGCATGCACCTAGTACATGGTATTCGCTCTTTATACGCTGCCGCCATGGGCATGCAGAGCCTTGAACTGACATCTTTTGAAGTATTCTCCAATCGTAGAGTATAGATGGTAGAAGAACTAACGCCACATCATGCCCAAAATTACTTCCAACATACACGGAAAAAGCTACCAGGTCGAGGCTCTGCATGCCTATGGCGGTAGCGTACAAAGAGCGAATAGGTAGCAGGTCTTGTCTCTGTTATTGTTCTTTTTAATGGTTACTTTCTAACTTTGTGTTTTTGTTAAGAGTGAGTTGTTGAAGAAAAGGTTTGTTTTTTTAATCAAATGTAATTAGAAAGAGCGTCATGACCAACTATCAGCCTTGTCTCAAGGAATTAAACAACATGAGCCACAACGTCGTTTTAACTTTTCTTGCTCTAATTTTGATCTTCCTAATAATTATGTAATAGAATTGATCTTGTTCCCCCACTTTGGAAATCCTAACTCCCCAGAATTAGGTCATACAATTTGTGTGGGTTGCTTGACAGTGCGTGTGGACAGAGAAGGAGGTGATAACTTCCCTAGCCAGTGACCTTCCACTTCACTTGGCTACTGGACTGAACAGAGAATGTTCTGTTGTCTCTCTATGATTTCTCCTTCCATGGAACCTGCCATACATAAAAACTTGTCCCTGTCCTGCTCTAGACAAAAATATTACCAGTGTAAGCCTATTGAACCACACACGCATACGTTGCTGGGCAGTGGGTGGCTTGGACCAGAGCCACATGAATTCCGTTCCGAAACCTGATTTAGTCGAGGGGAAGGAAAGACTGTGCACGTGAACCCTAAACATCATATAGCCCAATACATCTTCGCCATCCATTCAAGCTCTTTTACTGCAAGCCTTTCTACTGCAAGCTCTACAGTTACTTGCCAGGTCAAGACTAGCCAAGCCAAGCCAACCCCAACTTCAGCAATAGATCGTCTTCAAGCTAGGCCCTTTATTTATTTTCATTGCTAATTCATAATGTTTTCTGTTAAATAGAATCCCTATTTTTTCTCATTATTAAAAAGATGCTTTCTCTAACGTGAGGATATTTGTATTTTCGTAAATCGTGCGAAAACTTTTCACTATATTAGCTGGAAACGAATTAATTCTCACCGGTTAGCTGATAATAAAAGGCGTAAACTAGTAAACAAATAAATAATATAAGCATGTGTCATGATTCTCATATTGTGCCCGCTACAATATTTCTAAATCTATTCCAAGATACAATACATCAATCATTGTAACGTGCTTGCTAAGGTAAGATGCGGATCAGAGGAGAAACTATACAAGTGTGTGGCCAAATAGAGTTGAAAAAAAAGACACGGCCGCAATGATAATAGCGTCTGTATAATGTTTCATTCAAAAACATGGACTCGTATCATTGAAAGTGTGGTGCTGATGAAGGTAACGAGGAAGACTGGCCTGAAGGAAGACTAAAACGGAATATTCTGAGGGTATTATAGAGCAGGCTCGGTGGCAACTTCCTAAACCAGTGATCAAACTTGCAGTCATACAATTGTAGACAAATTGCCTGGGGAATTGGGAGTACTACTTAAAAATTACCGGGATGGACCACGGAGAAATACCAGTATCTATAAGATTACAAATCTACCACAAATGGGAACTGCATCGACGGTATTAAAAAGAAATCGTTGGCTGGGTTTGAAGAGTGACGAATTCTGGGCTTCCACTTATCAGGAGAGAGCAGTTCCTACATATGCCGATTTTCTTTTTGCTCTTTTTTCTTTTTCTTAATAAAACATGACAGAAATTAATCCTAATCGAGGAATGGATGAGATAAAAACAAGAACAAATCAACATCAAAGAGTAAATAGCATGTACTTTGCAAGCACGGGGGACAGAAATGAAAGAAAACAGTAAAAGCGCCCTCTATAACCACCATGAAGCAAAGGGCGGCAGCACACGACGCGTCGTGTCGTGTGTCGCGTCGTGCTTCAGGCGACGTAAAAGGCGACGCGATGCACGACACGACGTACGACGCGACGCACGACGGTACGACGCGACGGGTGACGGAAGGGGCGACGTTTAGGCGGGAAAAAATGAAACATGAAAAATACCTAAGACAGCACGACGCGACGGGCGACGGCACGACGCGACGCACGACGCGTGTACAAACATAATGGCAAAGAAGGCGACGGCTCGACCCGACGGCACGACGCAAGTGAGCCGTTGTGTCGTCGCGTCGTGTAGTTGCGTCGCCTGGAGTGAGGCTAGAGAGAGAGAGAAATGTGTGTCGTAAATTATGGTGTACTATTTACGACAAACATTTCTCTCTCTCTCTGGCCTCCCTCGTCGTGTATATACTTGCGTCGCCTGGATGGAGGCCAAAGAGAGAGAGAAATGTTTGTCGTAAATAGTACACCATAGAAAATAGCGCGCCATACTTTTGGGTCACGTGATCCTCCCGTACACGTACTTTGCATATGCAGCAAGGTATGAGACGGAGAGAACCCCCCCCC